CACCCGACCTTGGCAGGGGGTTGAGCCAAAACGAGCTCTACTTACAACGCTTACAACGGGCTACGAGGTGATGGTGCGTCGTGTACCCCAGCTCAACCCCCTGCCAAGGTCGGGTGCGAGTCTGATCTGAGCCGGTCGTTCGCTCGTCTGCAAGGAAACTGTCTTGTAGTCATATCATATGTAATGCTGCAAACACTCGGCACCTTCCGATCTTGTGCACACGCGCGCACACCTCCAGCCGACTCACGGCTCGTCTGCAAAAGCAGACCTTGTAGGCTGTGGATCTTGCTGCAAGGTGAGACTTTCAGGCTCTGGTTCCGCTATCACTGCTGCCGGCAGCTGAACTGCGTTGGATTTCATGTGTTTGGATGGCACTCCTACAATAGATCCCATAGTAGCATGGGCAAAAGGAAGAACCATGTCACGCAGCTCCAGCGCATAGGATGACAAGGCAATCAACACCTTAAGAGAGTGGCATTCCATCAAACAAGCAATACAGATCAAACCTATGAACATGAACGAGCACTTGAGCCACGTGAAACCCCTCCGGGCGTTTCGGCCCAAGCTGAGCGTCGGTCGAGCTAAGCTCCAGAGAGTTCTCTAAGCTAACAGGCATGCTTTGGCCTGGGCAAATCAGAACTGCGGGAGCAGGCAAGCAAGAACGCTCGCGTTGTCCTGCAGATGAATATCAAGGTTTCTCTTGATAGAGCTGTCAAGTAGACCAGTCCTTGTTGTTTGCAGCTTCTCCGCCGCCGGCTATGGCCAACTCTTCTGCAACGAGCTGTTCGAGTGATTGGTAACCTTAGCCGAGGTTCGAGCTGCAAAAATCGCACTGATGATGTTGTGTATAGCCAAGAACATCCGGGCAAACCTACGAATCCGATTGCTCGCGGCTGCGATGTAAGGCCCGGGGCAGTCGGCACGTGCCAGTCGCCGAAACACCGATTCAGCCTTCAGGGCCACAGCAAAGGTAACGGTCTGAAACCTCTCAGGGCGCCCCAGTCTGCGGACGCCTCTTCCTCAGAGCACGTTCGGAAAAGGCCATCGCTGGCCAGTCCAACCAGCCTCAGTGAGTTCATCTGCCCGGCTGCCCAGAGTGCCTAGAAGCCTAGAGCAAACACAGCAGATGTTGCAAGACCTAATCGACAGGCACGTGGCCCAGCTTTCGTCCCGTCCCTTTCCAGGATCATGTTGTCCGATAGTCCTGGAACAAGATCTGCGAAGTCCTTGATTCCACAGTACCCGATCGCTCGAGAGACGCCCAGAACACCGTTGACTCGGTGGCCGCTGCCCCCGTACTCCACGAAGCCCCCGGCTGCATCGATCCTTGCCATCTCCGCGGGGTCGCTGACGCGGTGTGCGTGGGTCATGAAGAGCTCCGAGGCGCTCTCCGGGCCGATGCCCGTGTGCTCGAGCTTCTTCCACTCCCCGACGAGCCCGGTTCGAGAGTCCCCGATGTTGGAGACGACAGCGTGACATCCATCGGGGCTCAACAAAGCCACGGAGGCCGTCGTCCCACACAAATCCATGTTGTCCTTCTTCTGCCGGAACTTGATGTACAACCTATCCAAACTCTCCAGCGCCTTCTGCAAGCCGCGGGAGGCCAGCCTCAAAAGCGGCAGACCCTCCAAACCGGCAGCCTCGGCTTCCGAGTCTCGCAGCATGCGCCGGACCTTCGGGCAAACCAAACTCCCAGCGTGCAAGATACATCTCACGATTTCCAGAGCTTCTACAAGTCGTGAGTAGTGACCCGTAGTCTAGTGACTAGTGCCGCACCTCGTGAGGCAAAGACTGGGCGGCAAACTTCGCACAGTCCATGCCGCCGTGGCCATCGAACATCCCCAAGAGCCTCCAGGATCGCGCACCCTTGTGGACGTTCCAAGCAATGCGGGCGTGGCAGTAGTAGTCCTGGAGAGACGGGCGGCGGCCCTGGGTCTGCCCGACGCAGAACGTCGCTTGCAGGCTGGACTTCAGGTTCGACCTCTTCGCGAACACCGACATGTCTTGCTTGCGGAACTTCTTCTTCCGGAGGAGCTCCATGACGACGCGCGCGGTCATGACAGCTCCGATGCCCAGGAAAATGCTGAACACGATCGGACGAGGCTCGGACGGCTTGGGCTGGAAGCGCAGCGCATCCAGGACCTCTTGCACTTGGGACAAAGAACATCGCCCGTCTCTGCCGGCCAGCATTTGCTCCAAGATCCGCACAACCGGAGGCAGCTCTGACGGGCTGTCCTCGGCAAACCTCCGCAAGTCACCTCCTGTGGCATATCGGCCAAAGAGTATGCGGACGAAGACTTCTCCCAAGCTGTAGACATCGTCATCCCGGGTATAGGGTAGCTCCTTCGTCACGAGAGAATCCACATCGATGAAGTAAAAATCCCCTAAAGCTGCATGCCCCTGCTCTCTCGCAGAACTCCGGTTCACCAGCGCGATCCCGAAGTCCGCAATGAGAGCCGTGCAGCCGGCACTAAGTAGGATGTTCGCGGGCTTCAAGTCCCGGTGCTGGATGCCTGCGTTCGAAACAGTGTGACTCAGTGTCTCTCTTGCATCTTTGTGCGAGGCCAACTGCTTCCCGGCATTTCCCGGCCTCGGTCATGGATGTGTTGCAATCCCGAAACGAGCTGCCGCATGATCCGCAAAGCTTCGTCAGTTAGCTTTGGCTGCGCATAGTTCACGTCGAAGGCATGGCCATGCTGTTGATTTATCCACTGCTGCAGATCACCACCCAGGGCCAGCCGGTACACTAAAATCACCTCGCGCGTTCCTTTTCCCTGCTCGAGCGGGGCCAGGAAGTAGGCCTTCATCTGCACAACGTTCGGATGTTCCCCCAAGTGCGTTGCTGCCTCCACCTCGTTCTTTGCAGTGGCCACAGCCAGCTTGTGTGTCGGTGCAATACGCTTGATCGCCACCAGCTCTCCTGTTTCCTTATTAATTCCACGTGCAACAATTCCAAACGCACCCTTGCCAAGGACAACTCCATCCTCCTCCCAAAGATGAGGGTCATGCTTAGACTGCGCGATGTCTGCCCACTCCGACGGGACTCCATCTGCACTGACGTGTAGTTCAGTCTCTTGGGACATAGAAGAGTATCTCACTGGCACCAGCGGTCGTCTTGGCCGCGTTGACGGCGGCAAATGAAATGCCCAAAGCTGCACGGGAAGGAGGCACAACGAGATCTGTGCAGGGCGGAATGCACACGTGTAAAGTGCAATGCTCGTCGCATCTCGTCGCTGTTGTTCGGTCATGTTCGGTCCTCCCGGCCTGCCAGACTGGCAGCATCATCTTCGGCATCCACCTGAAACATAAGGAGAGCAGACAGAAGCACAGGTGGCTTGCGGCACAACCTTGCATCCCCTACACTGCACATGTCTCTTTCGCCGGGAATCGGGAAGCGCTTGTCATGTGGCGTGAGATAATTCTGGCACGAACGGAAAGGGAGTCTCCAATTGTGCATTTCAGAGAGTTTGGCCTCAGAAGTAATGGTGCTCAGCGCCGTGTCACCTCGAACACGAGATCCAGCAACTCCTCAACGCCATTGCTCTGCAAAGAACAGGAATCTTAAAATGCAGCCACATGTCTTGAGGACGCTGCATTAAGCTCATAAGCACGTTAGAGGCACCATTTTGTGGGCCTGCTGTCTGGCGTTGATGTGGCGATGCTTTGTGTACCCCGTGTACAAGACATGTGTGTCGCTGCAGCCAGTTGCCCATGACGTCTTGAGATCGAAGTACAAGTAAAACTAATACCAAAAAAACGGAGCCAAGAAGGGTTGACAAAGGTTGACAATTCATGACTCAATTTAATGGTCTGCTTGGTGTCAGCGTCTCTTGGCAGAGACTATGGATTCCAATCAACATCTCTCTGCAGAATGTTGCCGATCTCTACAGCATTCAAAGGCTTCTCCGGTTCGAAGACGCCTAACGTCGACGCAAAGAAGCGGATCTGCTGCAAGCATTTTGCAAGGCTGATGAAGTGGAGACACCACATGTTCTGTTGAGGTTCCAGCTTTTGCTCCGATGAACGAATGTGGCGGGCACAATCAGACTGCCAGGGCAGCCACTTGGAGCCCGCTCAGCAAGTGAGACCATGAAACCGCTCCCTTCGCCGCGCGTGTGGCGCCGAGAGTACACAAAAGCAGCCGGATAAGGTCAGCTCATGCACGACCGGCTCCGGCAATGCAGACTGATTCCATATCGATGTCAATGTCAGGCCTTGTTCAACAAATCTGGACCGGCAGAGTGTCTGCAGACTTCGATGCTTACAGGCTGGCGACGTGGCTACGCCGTGCGCAAGCGGCCTCGGCCGCCGTGCGCAAGCTGGTCAGGCCAATTGCGGTGCCTCAGAGCCGGCAAGCCTCACATGTGGCTGGCACACTGTAAAACACAGGCTCGGGGCATGAAGGAACACGAAGCAAACCGCAAGCTGTCAGTGCGCTCTCGCCTGAAGGGCATGTGGCGGGAGCACCAAGCGCTCTCCACCGGCAGCCTCGAGGACTCTCGGGAAGAAAATGCAAATGACGGGCACGCTGCTAAAAGCATTGCATCAGCCCGACGTGTGGCAGCACGGACGTCTAAACCTTTTGGCGACAAGGCCGGTCTTGCACTGCGATGCACTGCTGATCGATACCGGGGGGCATAGGCGGCTTGATCCACCAGCTTGTCATTAAAGCGTAAAGCCTGGCAGAAACATGTCGAGAAAATGTGTGGTATATACTTCTGCACCTGCAACCATGGCATGCCTCACCCTTGAGAGACTTCGCCGGTTGTTGCAAAGACGCAGAGGACCTGCGCGCAGCGACCCAGCATAAGCCAAAGTCTCACCCGCATGGATAACGTGAGACTTCTGGTCTTGGGTGCATTCGTCAGTCCACATCGCCGAGTGTCGTTCTGTACAAGGCTCGATCTTGGCTGCCCTGCAAACTGTACGCAGGACTTTGCCGAAAGCAGTCAGGAGGCCCTTCATCCGATGGCGACCGCCGGGCTGAATCAGACGGCCAGGGAGGGACCCCTCGCACACTCTGAACTTGACTTGATTCCTGCCTTGCTCAGGGCTCAGGACTGTTGGGTCGATCGCAACATTGGGCAGCTAATCTCCGCTACCCAATCTCAAACCACATTATCAGGGAACCGCGCTCACCTGCAAGCAGCTTCTCAGTCTGATGCCACTCCTGGCCCACGAGTTGTAGATGGCAACGGCAGAGGTGTCGACAGAACCGGAGTGCCTTGGAAGAGTGGGCGACAGCCAATCCCACCTGCACGAATCACATGCTGCACCGGATCAGCAACAGCACGTGCACAAGCCCAGAACGTGAACCTGATGCTCGTGGCAGTAGGATGGATCCACTGCATCTTCGCTGGCGTAGAAGAAGACCCTGCGCCCCCAAGCACTTCAAGCATCAAGGCGATGGGCATCTTGCGGAAAACCCGCAAGAGCCAATAAAACAGTCTGCGGCTGCCAAATATGGCGGCCTGGATCCACGCAATATAGCCGTCCGCAGCAGACACACCTTGGCATCCACGGGCACTGCAGACGACAGGAAGACTACAATTGACAAGGTTCGCGGAAACACTAGCTACTGTAGAGGGAATAACAGCAAGTGTGCTACAATAGCCTTCCAAGCATCGCACATTGAGTGTGAGAGCGTACTTGTCCACGTGCCGCATAAAGGTCTGCCAAGTCAGAAGTATTCGAAGGCAACGGCCCTTCCGCAAACTTAGCTGCCTACTCATGTAGCAGACATCTCTTCGTCGTCGCAAGCATGGCAGTAGCAGTGCCTGCGTGCAATTGCATGTACACAAGAGAGTCCAGGGTGGATGCAAGTAACGTCCCCCAGTTGTCGGACTGCAGAAACGGCTGAAATTTGTCGGACAGGGTCCCTAGAGGCTGCAACGACAATGAGTCGGTGCATCTTCATTGTGATGTACGAGTCCAGCAGAGTTGCAGGAGAAGCAGAGCGGATCCCGAGATCTCCCAGATTTGACCAGCCTCCTCTCTGGATGCATAGTTCTTGGTGCGGAAGGCGTGCCGCAGTCGAACTCCCTGTCCGTCCGCATGCCACGCTTCGACGGCTCACTCTACACACTGCCGCTGTCTCTGCACTTTTAGGCTCCAAGCTCCAAGCCTCGAAGCCCAGTGCAGAGAAGGCCGGCAGCGCTGCCTGGCAGATAGGCCCTCTTCTGACCCTGAACTGCCCCCGCTCGTCGGGAAAAATCGTGGCGGCAGCTCCGCTGTCACTTGGCTCAGCAGCTCTGGAAAGATCTGCGAGACGTCAAGGCAGCCATCATGCCGCACTGGCATCGGCAAGCCCTTGTCCTGCAACTGCGAGCGCCGTCTGCACACGAAAGCCCTGGCTTGTCAAGCATCTGGTCCTCCGCTTGTGAGATGTAGTTTTCCGTCTCGGCCCAGATCCTAAGCATATACCGCACAAGCTGGCTCAACGTGTCGGACCCGCACACACAGACACAAATTGTATGAGAGACCGTGCGAATGGTCCGACGGTCCTGCTGCAGAGGTCGGCGCCCAGCAGCTGGAACACCAAAACTCCAGGCATTGGCTCCTCCAGCAGAGCTGGGGTAGAGGCTTCGGATTTGGGAGATTCTGGCAGCCCATGCCCATGTTGCTGGTGAAGACAAAGAGTTTTACCGTCTCGTCTCATCTCGGATTTAATGGGTATAGAGCTTAACGCTCTACGCTTTCAGCGGCTCTGTGGCAGCTGGAAGCAACTCTTCAGCCTACACCCTGCACTCCATCGTCCTTTCTTTGAGAAAGGCACGTAATGTTGAGTGCAGATCCTGTAAGCGGCTGCGCAACTGAAGACAAGATGCAGGCACTCCACGATCAGAGATTGCTGATGCCTGAAAATTTTGCGCCCAAGCGCTGATTCGCCGTCAGACGCAGGCGAATCCCGGGATTCAGATGTATGACCCCATGGAGCCACGAGGGCTCGCCGGAGGGCTGTCCTACTCTACGCAGGATTCCGCAGCCAGTGCGGCACCCGCACGACAAAATCTAGGCTTCGCACACCAAAAGCTCCTAAGAAGCGATTGACACTCGTCCCCTCTCGGCTCTCTCGACTCTCCCCTGCCACTAAGTCAGCGCTTTGATGGGTGCGAGGCCCCTCAAGTTAAGTCTCTAAATTGGTCACAGCAGGCACCTAGCGGAGGACCACCTGCGCCGACATCCGACTCAACATTTCGCTTTCGCAGAGTCTTTCCAGGCCCTCCTAGTTGATCCATAGTTCTGCTTTTTCTACAGGCCGAAAGCAGTGCGAAGGAGAAGAATGGCGAACAGCCAGGGATAGGCAGGCAAAAAGACCGTGCCTTCATTTCTGGTGTTTCTGACTGAAGAATCGCAGCTGTTGAGCTACGCCCAATCTATCACAAAATGGGTCCTCAAAGACCCGCTGACACATACAAGTACGTGTCATCAGCAATCTGGCTCGTATCAATCAAAAGAAACACTGAGTCCCGGGTGCTTCATGACCACTGCCAAGTATCCGCTCGCACACTGAGGGATCTTGGCACTCAAGCGCCGAAACCTTTGGGCAAGCTTCAGGCACTCTTTGAACGTACGAGATCTCACGACTGACCTGGCCTATGCCTATGCAGCCTCCTAACAGTCCTAACCTAACATTTGTGTATATCGGTGTTCCATGCAACTCCTCTCGTCGTGCTTTGCACTGTTTGCTGCAGGCCCTCGTGCAGGAAGGGTGCCTTTCTGCGCCGCCCGAGAAGTCCACCTGAAGTACAGGCATCATCTCAAGAGCATTGATATGTCTACATTGTATATTGAACTGGATGCCAGGCATGCTTCCACACAGCGAGCACAGCAGGTAGGTTCGGCCGAGGCGCCGTGGCAGTCGATGCATCGCCACCGTCCCTGGGCCAAACGGTGAAGGTGACCTGTAGGAACACAGACGTGGGGCCGGGATGCCTGGCTTGGGTTTAGGCAACACCTCGTGACCTCGGCCTGGCCTGGCGCCGATCGAAGTCGCAGGTGACCTCCAGCCAATCTCCCAGCTCCAGCGCTTTGATGCTCACGTGCGACCTTTCCACGTCCGCGTCCGCTCCTCAGCTGCGGCCCCCCCCCCGCTCCACGTCCAGAGTCCACCTGCCCCCCGCTCCCACTGCAAGCCGTCTGCAAAGCCGAGAGGCGCATGCAGATGCGACCCGTCCTGTTGGCGAAGACGGAAACGATCTTCCTCAGGAACGGCAGAGCCGCCAAAGCATTGTGCTTTACTTTGTCCACCCAGCTCACATGCAAAGCACATGACTAGTTACTAGTTGAACTAAGGTTCTGAATGTTCTGCGGGCAGGGCAACTGCGATGAGAAGACGATGCCAACACCGTCAGCGTTGCTGAGCTCTCCGTCGGTGAAGCGGAGGCAGTAGCGTTCCACTCCCGACTGGTGAAGCCCTGGCTTGTGGGGGACATAGGCAGGGCAGTAGTAGCACGGGGTGGGTGGGAAGTCGACCGTAAAGCTCTGGCAAGTCAAACAGTTTTGAACAGGCGTCTGTTCTCGGACACGATGGACAGGCGGCCCTTGCTCTTGGTCTTCGTAAAGGTTCTGCATTCCTTAGCATTTCTCATGGATGCCAACCCCCCCCTTTTGGACAAGATGGCTTTGGTTGCTTCAGTCCCTCGTAGCTCGATGCTTGGCAAGTTTCGGAAGAGAGGTGTCCAAGCTGAGCAGCTTTCGGATGGAAAGCATGAGCAGGCTGACAGATCTCGGGCGTGTTGTAGTAACCCTGGTCCCAGGCACCGTTTACCGCAGCAGGACAGCATCAACTGCCAATTTTCCACGTGGGAAGCCTGAGAAAACTGCACAGACGCTGCTGGGATCATCATCACCATCGGCTGCAGGGGTTGAACTGGCTGCACCGGCTGGACAATCTGCACCTGTCCACCTGGCTTTTCACTGAAAGCGACTCCCGCCCGCATGCGGCGATGGTATGGCAAAAGAAGCTCCGAGACTACACACATAAAGCTGAGGCACCCATCAGGGAGGGCTGTGCCATTTGTTGGACAAGGCCATTCACAGGGAGTCCTGTCGGCAAGGGTCTCGGACATACGACTGAGTTTGGTCATGGCCAACGTCCTGGACCCCTGGTCTCTGCCGGTTGCACGATCATCATCTGCTGCGGTGGATATCCAACAGCCATCTCCTAATCAGTGCAGAAGGGGCGGCCGGGGCTTGGCATGTCCAGGCTGCTTGACTGGGGTTTGAGGTTCAGGGTTTAGATACATCACTCACCTTAGCCCCCACCTGTGCAGAAACGGACGACACCGGGCTTGAACACTCCGACTTCCCCGAGTTCATCTTCTCCCACACCTGGCGCTTTCATTATGAGATTTAGGAGACGCAACAGACAACACGCCTGCCTTGGCCCAGGAGAAGCTATTACCTCATCATGTCATATTCACGGCATGGACATGCGAGCTGTTGCTTCCTACGTTGCTCAGGTCCCGAAACATTGCCGAGCGGCCAATAGAGCGGTCGGTGTCCAAGGGCACTTCCTGGCGGCAATCAAGAATCACAATCGCATCGTGGCGAAGGCTCTCTATCCCTGGGGTTTCTGAAAATGCGGGTCCCTGACCTTGGGTTCAATATTCAACCCCCCCTATCCTCTGAAAGTCTCATGTTGTCATGTCCTTATCTTCCGTCTCGGAACCTCCCCGGCCAGGCCTCCTTCATCTCGGAAGATTCCAAGTCGAGCGGGTTCCATGGGAAGCCTCCACTGGGAGCAGGGCCTCGGATCTAGAATCACTAAACATATTATAGGGGA